CCTAAATATTCTTTTTTTATGTTATTATAAATAGAGTTATTTTCTTAATTTCACTTTTGGGTTATTTATTACAGTGTATAGAAATAGAATTGATTTTGTATGTTGACCTTGTTTCCTGAAACCCTGTTGAAATTGTGTATTAGTTCTAATAGGATGTTAGTGGATTATTTAGGATTTTTTATATACAAGATCATGTTATCTGATGGTGGAGGAGTTTTACTTCATTTTCTATACGTATGCATTTTATTTCCTTTTGTTGCCTAATTACCCTGGCTAGAACCTCTAGTACAGTGTGGAGTGGAAGTGATGAGAGAGGCTTCCTAGTCTTGTTCTTTTATTTTCTTCTTTAAATTATACATATGTATTTTATTTACACTTTGTATTTGATATATTTCATGATAAACATTTTTTTTCCACCTTAACCATTTTTTAAGTGTGCAGTTCAGCGGTATCAAATACGTTCACATCGTTGTATAAAAATCACCTCTGTCCATCCCCATAACTGTTTTCATCTTGTGAAACTGAAGCTCTATACCCATTAAACAATAACTCCCTGTTATTGCTTGCCCCCAGCCCCTGGTAACCACCAGCCTACTTTCTGTCTTTATGATTTTCCTAGTCTTGTTCTTAAACTTAGGGAAAGTTTAAGCTTAGGGGAAGCATGCAGTCTTTCATTATTAAGTATAGTGTTAGCTTAGTTTTTCATAGATGCCTTTTCTAAAGTTGAGGAAATTCCCTTCTGTTCCTGTTTGTTGAGTATTTTTATCACAAGAGAGTGTTGGGTTTTGTCACATGCTTTTTATGCATCTATTAGATGATCATGTGGTCATTGTTTTTTATTCCTTGGACATGGTTTATTATAACACTTTGTATTCCTGGGATAAACCCCACTTGGTTATGGTGTGTATCACATTTTATATGTTGCTAGATTCAGTTTGCTAGTATTCTGTTGAGGATTTGTGCACCCATGGTATAAGGTATGTTGGTCTGTAGCTTTCTTTGCTTGTGCTGGTTTGATTGATTGATTGATTGATTGACTGATTGAAGCAAGGTATAGTGACTTTATTAGGAAAGCCAGTAGACCAGGAAGATGGTGGACTGGTGTCTCAAAGAACCATCTTATCCGATTTGCCTGGTTTTAGTACAGATTCATACAATTTGGAAGTGTTCCAACATCTTCCAATTTTTGGAAGAGTTTGTTTAAAAAAATGGTGTTAATTCTTTAAATATTTGGTAGTATTCACCATTGAAACCACCTAGACATGAGCTTTTCTTTGCCAAACTGTGGGTGGTTTCTTGATTACTAACTAAAACTTTGTACTTCTTATAGGTATATCAGATTGTCTGTTTCCTTTTAAGTCAGTTTCTATAGTTTGTGTCTTTCTAAGAATCCATCCATTTTATCTAAATTGTCTAATTTATTGCCATACTGTTGTTCATAGATTACTTTTTTGTATTGAAATAAAGTTAATTTACAATGTTGTGTTAGTTTCAAGTGTACAGCAAAGTGATTCAGCTATGCAGACACACACACGTATATGTATTCTTTTTTTAAAATTAATTAATTAATTAATTAATTTTTGGCTGCAATGGGTCTTCGTTGCCACGCGCGGGCTTTCTCTAGCTGTGGCGAGTGGGGGCTACTCTTCACTGTGGTGTGCGGGCTTCTCACTGTGGTGGTTTCTTTTGTTGTGGAGCACAGGCTCTAGGCGCACGGGCTTCAGTAGTTGTGGCTCGCGGGCTCTAGAGCGCAGGCTCAGTAGTTGTGGCACAGGGGCTTAGTTGCTCTGAGGCATGTGGGATCTTCCCAGACCAGGGATCAAACCCGTGTCCCCTGCATTGGCAGGCAGTTTCTTAACCACTGCGCCACCAGGGAAGTCCCTGTATATGTATTCTTTTTCAGATTCTTTTCCTATAGGTTATTACAAGTTATTGAGTATATGTAGATTTCTTTATAGTCATTTTCATTTTTAAAATGTCAGTAGCAATTTCTGATGCTAAAAATTTGAGTGTTTTCTCTTATTTTCTTGGCCAATCTATCTAAAAAACCTTTTCAAAACATCAGCTTTTGTTTTCACTGATTTTCTCCATTGTTTTTTATTCTCGTGTTCATTATAGTTTCTTCACTTATCTTTACTATTTTCTACCTTCTGCTCACTTTGTGTTTTGTTTGCTCTTCTCTTTTCAGTGTATTAAGGTGGAAATTTAGCTTCTTGATTTGAGATCTCTGTTCTTTTAATATCTAAACATATAGCCATAAATATCTCTCTGAACACCACTTTTGTTCCATCCCATCAGTTTTGGTATATTGTATCTTCATTTTTATTCATCTAAAAGTAATTTCTGATTGCCTTTTGATATCTTCTACAACCTATTGGGTATTTAAGTGTGTGTTATTTAATTTCCACATATTTGTGTGTTCCCCAATTTTCTTTCTGTTATTGATTTCTAATTACATTCCATTGTGGTGGAAAGACATGCACCATATTATTTCTATCATGATTATTATTTTTTAAACTGCACAATTAATTGAAGCAACAGATTACAGTCTGGTTTATCCAAAGAGATGCTAGTCCAAGAATTAAAGGCCATGAGGTCCCAGAATGTAATCCAGTTCCTTTAGTCAATCCAAAGATGCAGAAGAGGCCACTGATCTCACTGCTGCAGTGATAGTCCCTATATGTGGACTTGGCCTTGCTCAGTCATTGGCTTCGAAGTCTGAGCAAAGGTCATAGAGGCAATGGGTCATGATTGAGTATCCTGGTGGTTTTACTTTTTTGATTGGTAGAGCAAATTATGATTGCGCCAAGTAAACTTTGCATTTTCGCTGTGCTTCCTTTTATCTTTTTCCCTACAGTATTATTTCCATTCCTCACCCCAGTCTTTGAAGTATTAAATATTACTGTGTTTCCAAAAAATTCTGTGAATTTTTTGGCGAAGTCTGTAAAAAGGATGAAAGAGAGTCGCCTCAAAGATAAACAAACGGTAAAGTCTGGTGGTGGTTACATGAGGGGGCTCACTTTTTGATAATTTATTGAGCTGTACACATATTTCTTATGCATATCTCTACATTTTTTAAAGATAGGTAGAAAACTAAAGAGTTTAGAATAGGAGGACTATAAAATTTGGGGGGAATGAATAAGGAGGAAGTTGGGGAAGGAAATAAGAGTATGAGCCAGAGAGCAATATTTAAATATAATAATAGGCATGCCAATTAGTATGTCACTGCATAAATATTAATGAGATAAGGAGTTTACCACTTTTCTTCAATAAATGGTTAAGGGATAAAAGTTACTGATTAAAAATGATTTCACTGGTATTTCACCAAATATTAGCTTGGCAAAGAATCACTTCAGTTCCAAGCTTCCTATTTCACAGGTTGTCCAATGGAAGGCCCTGTCAGCCACCTGATGCAGTGTAGTCATTTTAAAAGTTGAGCTCACTCATAGTTGGAGTGGGCAGGAGTCTTCTCTGGCCAATGAAGCCACAAGTGGGTTAACCCAGCTCTGCCTTCATGAGGGCTGGAGGTCAGCACAAGTATGTCTGCAGGTCAGGGGACAGGGCTGGGTACTCAGGATGTCACTGAAGAATATGTAGCATTCTGGAAGGGTGAAGGGCTTGAAGATGCTTCTACAAAAGCCGCCGATGAACTCTGCAGATATCAGGGGATTAATTTATGTGATCATTCATTAAGAATTAAAGTTGGAGACAAGCCTCTTAGACAGCCTCATCCACCAGAGGGCAGACAGCAGAAGCAAGAAGAACTACAATCCTGCAGCCTGTGGAACAAAAACTACATTCACAAAAATATAGACAAGATGAAAAGGCAGAGTGCTGTGTACCAGATGAAGGAACAAGATAAAACCCCAGAAAAACAACTAAATGAAGTGGAGATAGGCAACCTTCCAGAAAAAGAATTCAGGATAATGATAGTGAAGATGATCCAGGGCCTCGGAAAAAGAATGGAGGCAAAGATCAAGAAGATGCAAGAAATGTTTAACAAAAACCTAGAAGAATTAAAGAACAAACACCTAGAAGAATTAAAGAACAAACAAACAGAGATGAACAATACAATAACTGAAATAAAAACTACACTAGAAGGAATCAATAGCAGAATAATTGAGGCAGAAGAACAGATAAGTGGTCTGGAAGACAGAATGGTGGAATTCATTGCCACGGAACAGAATAAAGAAAAAAGAATGAAAAGAAATGAAGACAGCCTAAGAGACCTCTGGGACAACATTTGCATTATAGGGGTCCCAGAAGGAGAAGAGAGAGAGAAATGACCTGAGGAAATATTTGAAGAGATTATAAGTTGAAAACTTCCCTAACATGGGAAAGGAATTAGCCCCCAAGTCCAGGAAGTGCAGAGTCCCATACAGGATAACCCAAGGAGAAACATGCTGAGACACATAGTAATCAAGTTGACAAAAATTAAAGACAAAGAAAAATTATTGAAAGCAACAAGGGAAAAGTGACAAATAACATACAAGGGAACTGCATAAGGTTAACAGCTGATTTCTCAGCAAAAACTCTATAAGCCAGAAGGGAGTGGCATGATATATTTAAAGTGATGAAAGGGAAGAACCTACAACCAAGATTACTCTACCTGGCAAAGATCTCATTCAGATTCGATGGAGAAATCAAAAGCTTTACAGACAAGCAAAAGCTAAGAAAATTCAGCACCACCAAACCAGCTCTACAACAAATGCTACAGGAACTTCTCTAAGTGGGAAACACAAGAGAAGAAAAGGACCTACAAAAACAAACCCATAACAATTAAGAAAATGGTAATAGGAACATACATATTGATAATTTACCTTAAACGTGAATGGATTAAATGCTCCAGCCAAAAGACACAGGCTCAGTGAATGGATACAAAAATAAGACCCATATACATGCTGTCTACAAGAGACCCACTTCAGACCTAGGGACACATACAAACTGAAAGTGAGGGGATGGAAAAAGATATTCCATGCAAATGGAAATCAAAAGAAAGCTGGAGTAGCAATACTCATATCAGATAAAATGGACTTTAAAATAAAGAATGTTACAAGAGACAAGGAAAGACAACTACATAATGATCAAGGGATCAATCCAAGAAGAAGATATAACAATTATAAATATATATGCACCCAACATAGGAGCACCTCCATACATAAGGCAACTGCTAACAGTTATAAAAGAGGAAATAGACAGTAACACAATAATAGTGGGGGACTTTAACACCTCACTTACACCAATGAACAAATCATCCAAACAGAAAATTAATAAGGAAACACAAGATTTAAATGACACAATAGACCAGATAGATTTAATTGATATTTGTAGGACATTCCATCCAAAACCAGCAGATTACACTTTCTTCTCAAGTGCACATGGAACATTCTCCAGGATAGATTACATCTTGGGTCAGAAATCAAGCCTCAGTAAATTTAAGAAAATTGAAATCATATCAAGCATCTTTTCTGACCACAATGCTATGAGATTAGAAATCAATTATAGGGAAAATAACGTAAAAAACATAAACACATGGAGGCTAAACAATACACTACTTAATAACCAAGAGATCACTGAAGAAATCAAAGAGGAAATCAAAAAATACCTAGTGACAAATGACTACGAAAACACGACGATCCAAAACCTACGGGATGCAGCAAAAGCAGTTCTAAGAGGGAAGTTTATAGCTATACAAGCCTACCTCAAAAACAAGAAATGTCTCAAATAAACAACCTAACCTTACACCTAAAGCAATTAGAGAAAGAAGAACAAAAAAAACCCCAAAGTTAGCAGAAGGAAAGAAATCATAAAGATCAGATCAGAAATAAATGAAAAAGAGATGAAGGAAACAATAGCAAAGACCAATAAAACTAAAAGCTGGTTCTTTGAGAAGATAAACAAAATTGATAAACCATTAGCCAGACTCATCAAGAAAAAAAGGGAGGAGACTCGGGCTTCCCTGGTGGCACAGTGGTTGAGAGTCTGCCTGCCAATGCAGGGGACATGGGTTCCTGCCCCAGTGCAGGAAGATCCCACATGCCGCGGAGCGGCTAGGCCCGTGAGCCATGGCTGCTGAGCCTGCGCGTCTGGAGCCTGTGCTCCGCAATGGGAGAGGCGGCAACGGTGAGAGGCCCGCGTACCGCAAAAAAAAAAA